AAATGTGGGTGCCTTTCTTTCGTTTTATCGTATGACAGGATAGAATTATTATTGCGGATTATGACTCACCCAGGAAACATTTGTTTCCATAAACTTGTGAAATATATGTTCTCCTGACAACTGTGGGTGTTTTGATACACGGTTTAAGAAGCTTTGTAGCATTCTTTTGCGTTTCTCAATCATTGTTATATCCTCTTTGGCCTTGCCTTGCATGGTCGCATAATCAGCTATTCGAAGTCACATTATAAGTCAAAAATAAATTGACATAGGTTGATCTATGTTTAATGTAAACCGAAAACATTAGGCAAGAAACGGAAAAAAAAAATATCTTGCCGCCTTTCCATCATATAGGAAAAGGATGGACTAGGTAGCTTGATAGATCACCGATTGAATGCTTTTCCGGAATTGGCGGAACGATTAAGGTGGGGTACAAACGCATTAATGATTTCCTCAATGATTCGAATTCCGAGTAACGTCTCCTAACTTCATGATCCTATTCAAGAATTAAGAAAGTATACAAATATTAAAGGAGGCTAAATTCAATAATAAAATTATGAATTGATCACTTACCACAGCTTTTATAGTATATGTGATAAAAGTACTCCCATTATTATCAGTTGTCTTTTGTGCACTAGTAATTTGAATGGTAAAGTCGCCTTGGTGAATGTCCCTGTCAAGTTGACAGCAAAATTGTGTTTTAACCTCCGGCTGATAGTTCAGGTTTATTGACATAAGCTGTTGTTCTTCCACTTTTTCAAAACTATCATCAGAATCATCATTTACAGTATAAGGAAGAGTGTCTGAAAAATGAAGAGAATTTGAAAAAGGGTCGATATCCTCCAAGTCTGACATTGGTAGAGAGTGTTGCTGGGAAATTTTTGGTGCAACGATTTATATAATCGTATAGATGTGACGTAGGCATCATATGGGTATACTGCAGGGATCAGTGTCATTCTTATTTCGTAACGGTAAATAATTACGTAATTAACTAACATACTGTATGATTTCTTTTTTGTTCTCTGGCAAGTGATTCCTGTTAACAATCAGGAAATAAAATTTATCATTATTAAAAAAAGATTGGGATTCAGGATTGTTAACTTCTAAAGTTTTTAATTGTTGCAGTTTGATTATATTAAACCATAGCGATAGATTATTTAATTTAACAAATACTGTTTCTGGATTAAAGATCTTGGGTATCGGTATTGTATTAATAATATTAAACATTTTGATTTTATTTCTTTGATGTTTGAAATGTACCCAAATACTTTCAGAATAATATAATAAAGCACGTGACAAATTCATGTATTAATAATGAAAGCCATAGATGACCAATAGGAAACCGTAGAATCTGTGAATGCAAATTCTATCCTGTCATACGATAAAACGAAAGAAAGGCACCCACATTAACTCTGACATAAACAAATCTTTACTGACATCAAAAGTTGTAATCTATTTCCATCTTTAATTAGCTCATTGCCCCTTGACAAGTCTACCTTCGTGACAATTTCGTTCTTGCCGTCGTCTTTAAGCTGTTCAAAAAAAAAATAAAGTCTCGATAGATTTAAAGTATATGCTTTGAGAGTGATTCAGTAAACATATGTTGACTAGAAGACGTGAAGAAAATTCAGATCAAGTTGCCGGGCTTAGTTCCCCCAAACGGATTCGTGTGGGCGAATCAGATCATGAGGCCCAATTTTCCCCCGTCTATTTCTCACACCCTTCCCCTTCACATACATATCCGATTTCATCTATAACACCAGTTAGGTCGATCACGTCGCAATCCGGGGTTGTTAAAGAATCTAATGGGAGTCCTCATATAGAATCTGCCGACAATTCAGACGAAGATGTAACTGGAAAACAGCGTATTTTTGTTGAAGAAGACGATGACGAAGACGATGAAGATTGGAACGAGGGTGACCATGTCAATGACAGCAGTGATGAAACTTCTTCTATCGAAGATATTATTGACCATCTAAATCACGTCAACGACCAAATTGTGGAAGAAGAAGAACAATTACTAGACGAGGAAGA